GAAGTCCCAGATCTCATAGAATTTATATTCTAGTCATAAAGCACAAAACTAGCATTTTTGAAGATTACCTATGATTTCATATATAAGAACAACTGATAGCCAAAATGTAGTTTTACTTTTCTGATCCTATAGGCAATTATTCTTTCAGGGTCACAGACTCCTTTGAGGAACTGATGAAAATCCCAGACATAATCACCATTAAAGAATATGTATATACACACATAAATATGTTTGCAAAAATTTGGGAGGGAAACATGAACTCCTTGATTAAGAATTCCTCTCTGTACCATTTGTAACAGCATAGATGGAACTGGAGAGCGTTATGCTAAGTAAAATAAGCCAGTCAGAGAAAGATAAATAACACATGATCTCATTCATTTGTGGATTATAATGAACAACATAAACTGATGAACAAAAACAGATCCAGAGATAGCGAAGCATCGATCAGACCATCAAACCTCAGAGGGAAGGTAGGGGAGGGTGGGGATAAAGGGGAGAGAGATCAACCAAAGGACTTGTATGCATGCATGTAAGCCTAACCAATGGACACAGACCACAGGGGGGTGAGGGAATGCGGGGTGGGAGGGTAATGGGGGGGGGGGTGGATAAGGAGACATATGTAATAGCATAATCAATAAAGAAATTTTTAAAAAAAATATTTTTATTGATTTTGTACAGAGAGGAAGGGAGAGAGACAGAGAGTTAGAAACACCGATGAGAGAGAGTCATTGATCAGCTGTTTCTTGCACACTACCCCTGGGGATATGCCCGCAACCAAGGTACATGCCCTTGACCGGAATCGAACCCGGGACCTTTCAGTCCCCAAGCCGACGCTCTATCCATTGAGCCAAACCGGTTTCGGCCAATAAAGAAATATTTTTTAAAAATATATTTTTATTGATTTTATACAGAGAGGAAGGGAGAGATATAGGGTTAGAAACATCGATGAGAGAGTCATCTATCAGTTGCCTCTTGCACCCCCCTTCCCCCCACTGGGGATATGCCTGCAACCAAGGTACATGCCCTTGACCGGAATCAAACCCGGGACCCTTCAGTCCCAAGCCGACGCTCTATCCATTGAGCCAAACCGGTCCCGGAAATAAATAAATTTTTAAGAAAAGAAATTTCTCCCTAGACTCTCTTCTACAGATTTTGATTTTTAAAGTTGGAGAAATTTCAATATTGTTTGCATTCAAAAAGTTGAACTAAAATAAATTTAGTAAACAACTTAAGATTACCCTAAATTGTGAACTTTCTGAATTTATTTTAATGATTTCACTTGTTACTTATATTCAACTCAGTTTTTTGAAATATTAACCAAAAGTATTGTTTTTTTAATGTAAGAAAATTAATGAACTCTTTATAATGGTACTCTGTTATAGGCATTTGCAGCAGAACAATTCTCTCTTTGATATAAAGTAGACATTTTAGGAATCTAAATGAATTTCTGATTCATTCTAACTAGCATTCTTTTCTTCAAGTTATTTTTAAAAACTAATTATAATAGTTCCCCAACTGTCATCCTCTTTGAATTTCTACCACACTTTAGTCTTTCCTATTCTGCACATTAACTACTGTTCCTGACACATTGTACTTCCTAGTAATATCTTCCACAAGGCACAGATCTATGTTGAGAAGCATTTATGGAGCATATCTGTGCCTAATTCCCTGCTATCATAGGTCATGAGCTAAAATTTTAATTAAACATCTACAATTTATTTTTTGTTTATTTTGTATTTATTATTATATTTCTGCTATTTGTGATTACAGGTCAACATTTTTCTAAGATCATGATTTTCTGAAAGAATAAAGCAATGTTTCCCAAAATAATATTCTAGGCTGCAAGTTAATTTTTATAGTAAAGAGGATTCTTTAATCCATATACCTACCTACTAATAATGAATTTATACTTATCATCTGATTTCTGCAATTATTTCACAACTACTTAACACCCAGCATCTCTTGAACCCAGAGATTTTCAACAAGTGTGCTACGGAGCTTTAAAAACATGTAATACCTGACTATTTAGTCAGAGGTACCAACCTCTTTTCCAAGTAAAAAAATGACAACAGCTAACACAATGATAGTGCCCAGTATGAATGAATCAGAATTATCCTTTTATTTTTAATTGTCAAATGGGCTGCAGAAATTTAGTGATTTGTTTATGTGTCATGAGATGGAAAAGGTAAAAAAATGCTATTTTAACATAATACATGTTTATTTTCTTATTACTAATATATTTTTATGGATATAAGAGAGAAAGGGAGGGAGGGAGAAGGAAAGGAGGGAGAGAAAAAGAGAGAGAGAGAGAAACATCAATGACAAGAGTGAATCACTGACAGGATGGCTGCTTCCTGCATGCCCCCTACTGGGGATCCAGCCTGCAAGCCGGGCATGTGCCCTTGACCAGAATTGAACCTGGGACCTTTCAGTCCACAGGCTGATGCTCTATCCACTAAGCCAAACCAACTAGGGCTCATACGTTTCTAAGAGGCTAAAATATCAGATATTCCTTTGAATCTCTCTCTCTTATGCTCCAAACATATATGGTGCTGGCTCCTCAATTTAAAATATAAAGTTCAAAAGTCCTCTCTAAAAATACTTCTGCTATCCTAAATCTTTCTTTTTACCACAGCAGTTCTCTGTTCCATTAAAAAATCATGTCATTTCTTTCAAACATAGCTACCATCCTCCTCATTTCATTTCTGCTATTCAAATCATTCTTCTAATCCTATCTTATCTCTGAAAATATTATTTTTCCAGCAATCATTGTACAATTCATGTGGTAATTAATCACACTCTCAATTTTGTAATATTTTTATTCTTTATCTTTTGTGTTTATACCTATATTGCAAGCTGCATTCAATTAGGGATGGGACCATGCCTTATGTTTTACAGTCTTCCTCAATACATGGTAGACTTGTCAGAGTTTATCTGCTGATATTAATAGAAAGCTTATATCTAAAGATAATTTAGTATATAGTTCCTTAACTTATATAATCCTATCAAAATCAGTTTTATATCCTGAGCATTTCTCCTCACCCTTCATGGTTGTGTTGCCTATTTATAATCACTTAAGTGTTTTCTTTATCTTTCTTTTTTTTTTTTTAAGTTTAAAAATCATCCTTGGTATATATTAAACAGAAATTTAGGGTTATAAAACACTTAAATCTTGTTTGGAGAAAAAGCAGCCAATTTTTTGAGGAACTAAGAAATTCAGCAAGATATATGGAATTTTTTTTTTTTTTTTAAGATTACACATTCCTTTTCAAATACACAGGGAAACAGGGATACTTAATAAATGAATCCTTAACTAACTTTAAAGAGCCTACTTCTTCTAACCACAGTGGTGGGAGCTATGTGGAAGCTATAATCCAACTGAAGAGGTAAGACTCTTCACTCCACTACCAATTCCCACAAATTTTTAAGTTATGGCAATGCCTTATTCTCAACTACCTGATTTAGAATTCTCTAATGTATCACATGACATATCTTAATTTTAAAACTAGAGGTCCAGTGCACGAATTCGTGCACTAGTGGGGTCCCTCAGCCTGGCCTGCAGGAATGGCCGAAACTGGCTCTCTGACATCCCTCGGGAGGGCCTGGATTGCAAGAGGGCACAGGCTAGGCTGAGGGGCCCCACTGGTGCACATTTGGGGATAAGGAGGGACATGGGAGGTTGGCCAGCAGGGAAGGAACTGCAGGAGGGTTCTAAGGCATGTCCAGCCTGTCTCACTCAGTCCCAATTAGCCAGGCCCCAGTACCAAGCTAACCTACTGGTCAAAGCTTCTGCCCCTGATAGTCAGTGCATATAATAGCGAGCGGTTGAGCGGCCTTAGTATATCATTAGCATATTATGCTTTGATTGGTTGAATGGACGACCAGACACTTAGCATATTAGGCTTTTATTATATAGGATTAATTTTCACAGCTTTAATATAATTCTTAATATTTTGAGGTAACTGCCACAGAAGACTCAGAATCACTGCTCTAGAGTAAGAAATAAAATCTATTAATATATAGCATCACTTATGTTAAACACATTTTACAATGTATTACTTGTAAAATTTTCCTTGACAAAACACTTTTATTGTTAAGAAAAGATAAATTTTATGATATTGCTATGTAATAATGAACCCTGGAAAACAATGCAATTGAGATGATACATAATTTCTATTATTGGCTGCTGTCTCTCTCAAGACCTGCCAAGAAAAGCTGGAGACCTGGAAGATGAGTCTATTTTTTTCTCAAGAAGTTTCATGCCTAAGTTTGGTTATCTTAAATCTTAAAAGCATACATGTTAAAAATTAAGTAATCAATTTTTAGACGTCCAGAAACTTAAAAAATCCTGTGAGAAAATATTTATTTGAATTATTAAAGTTTAGGGCAATTAAAAAAAAAGATAAACTAGTCCTAAAATTAAAAAACGGAACTATAGAGAAGCAGTTGACAGCTTATCAGTATTTCTAAGGACGGTAAAAGGGATAAAGAGATTTGCGCTAAGAAGGCACAGCAGGGTTACAACAAAAATGGTTCTCTCACTTCAACACATAAACCCACAGCACATAAGATTAGAAAGTATCCTCACGTATTCAAATGGGTACATGGGGCACTGGAAGGTCTGGTCATTAAAATAACATTTATTATCACTAATATTTATTATCTAGTAATGGCAGAAGCCTGCTTAAGGAGAAACTGAGATATTTGAAAATATATTCTTTGTCTCAAAATTAAGATTTAAGGGAGAAAGAGAAGAAAAGGCAGACATACAGGGGAAAAATAAGTACAGCTCAAACAAAAAGGCATTTGATACCCATTAAATGACAATAAGCCTATCTGCAATATAGAACTCTACTTCCATTTCAACACATTTCCTTAAACTTTAATTGATTCCTTAAAATAAGCAGTAATTTATTATAGATTTCATTATGTGAATATACTCCCATCTAGTAATATTTACATTATAAAATTATTTTAAATGCTTAAGAAATAAAACTTACCCCTTCATTTTCTCTATGTGGATTCAGCTTACTATAAACAGCTTCAATAATATTGCGCCTAAAAATAAATTACAATTTTATTTTATTAAATTACAATGATTAAGCTTTGAGTGTTTAAAATAATACGTTATTTTGCCCTAGGTGGCGTGATTCAGTGGATAGAGCATCGGCCTGCAGACTGAAGGATCGCAGGTTTGATTCCAATCAAGGGCATATGCCTAAGTTATGGGCTTGATCCCCACCCAGTAGGGCGTGCAGGAGGCAGTAGATCAATGATTCTCTCTCATCGTTGATGTTTCTCTCTCTCTCCCTTCCTCTCTGAAAAAAATATATATATATTTAAAAATAAATACGTTAACTATGTAACTAAAAAACTGACACACAAAACACTTGCTAAGAACAGTTTCTAGATTTCACTCAGAATTTGATCCAACACAATATACTGTGCTCTTAATTACCAAGGTAAGAAGGACCTTCATCCTCAGATTATGATGTTTTACAAATCTCTTTTCAATAAAATTTTAGTCTTTTCTAGTATAAGAACTATAAGAACTATCAACCCATTTCATCTTACTCAAAATTATTTAATTAGTAATTATAAAGAAACACAAAATTAGTTCTTTTTATTCTACTTACTTGCCAGCAAGACCTCCCCCAGGAGGCAAATTTGGGATATTTTCTGCAGACAAGATGCGCATGACCTGGGCAAGATCAGGCATTCCATCCTCACGAAACTTCTCCATAATTTCTGTAAATTAAAAAAAAAAAAAAAAAAAGTTCTTAAATTAATGTAGTATTCACACAGAATTTAAACAAGGTAGTATTTGGTAGTACCTTTGTAAAATATAAAAACAAGCATTATCTGTTATCACACAAAAACAAAAATAGGTAATATAAAAGTTATTTGTATATATATATGCTCATTCTAGCATTATTCATAAACACAAAAACTGGAACAAATTATTGTCCAACAATAAGGAAAAAATTTTGGTATAGCTAGCCACTAGTGAAATGCTTTATAATCCCTAAAAATTATCCCTATCAACATAGTACAACTACTTGGAAAAAATACTTTTCATCTAATTTTACATAAAAATGAAATTATTAATACTATAATTATAGAAATATAAAAGCAATATATGGATAAAAATTAAAGGAAAGGAACAAATTTCAAACTGTCCTATAGGCTTTATTTTAATCCTCACCAGAGGATATTTTTCCATTGTTTTTTAAAAAGCGTGGAAGAGAGGGGGAAAGATAGAAATATCGATGTAAGAGAAACACATTGATTGGTTACCTCCTGCATGCCCCCTACCAGGGCCATAGCCAGGGAGGAGCCTGCAACTGAGGTGCATGCCCTTGACTGGAATCGAACCCGGTACCCTTTGGTCTGCAGGTCAACGCTCTATCCATTCAGCCAAAACAGTTGGGGCACCTTATTGGCTTTCTAATACCTTGAGTATGTCCACAATTTATTTAAAATAAAGAAGGAGCCCTGGCCAGTGTGGCTCAGTTGGTTGGGCGTTGTCTGGTGCACAGAAAGGCTGCTGATTCAATTCCCAGTCAGGCACATGCCTGGGTTGCAGGCTCGATCCCTGGTAGGGGGCATGTAGGAGGTAGCTGATAAATGTTTCTCATATTGATGTTTCTCTCCCTTCCTCTCTAAATATCAATAATAAAGGAATGAATATAAGAGTATAAATTAAAGAACTGCTAATGCTTAGAACAAAAATTAAACATTTACATGATCCATTTATAATTTATGGAAAACAGATTTTTAAAACATAAAGTTCATCAAGAAATCTATAAAAGAATGTAGTTTTCTTAAAAGTAATTACACATTTGAAGACTCATCAATAATAAGCCAAATTCAATAAGCCTATTATGTCCTAATCATCATCATTCAGATGTATTTACTATTTTTTAAGTAAGTCAAGCCACAAAAGTGCTGGAAGAAAATATGTAATTAAATTGAAGAAAGAACTTCATAAGAATGGCATCAAGGCAAAAAAAATATGATTGACATAACTTCATAAAAGGTAATTTTATATCTTAAAAAAACTACACAAATAGTTCTGGCCAGGTAGATCAGTTGGTTAGAGCAGCGTTTTTCAACCGCTGTTCCGCGGCACATGTTGCCTGGTGTGCCGTAGGTGCAGACAAGAATTTTATAATTTTTCACTATTTTGTTTACTTAATATTTCATAATAAAGTAATTATAAAATACTTTCTTTGTGTTTATTTGATTCCTATTCAAGAGAATTACTTTATATATAGTCAATATAGGCACAGAGTTAAATTTTTTAACATTTTCTAATGGTGGTGTGCCTCGTGACTTTTTTCATGAAACAAGTGTGCCTTTGCTCAAAAAAGGTTGAAAAACACTGGGTTAGAGTGCCGTCCTGATATGCCAAAGTGGCAGGTTCGATACCTGGGTCAGGGTACATACAAGAAGCAACCAATGAATTCATAAGTAAGTGGAACAAATCAATGTTTCTCTTTCCCTCCTTTCTTCCGCTCTCTAAAATCAATAAATTAAAAAAAAAAAAGACAAAACCCCAACACATATAAAATCAAAATGCAGTATTAAGTTAGGAACCTGTGATTATCTCTAATGCATTCTCAAGTTATCAGGGTAACCACTAATTGCATTTTTAAAGATTCTTTTTTTTTTTTTTTTAATATATTTTATTGATTTTGTACAGAAAAGAAGGGAGAGAATTAGAAACATTGATGAGAGAGAGTCATCGATCAACTGCCTCTTGCACCCCCCCTACTGGGGATGTGCCCGCAACCAAGGTACATGCCCTTGACCGGAATCGAACCCGGGACCCTTCAGTCCCCAAGCCGACGCTCTATCCATTGAGCCAAACCGGTCCCGGCTAAAGATTCTTTTAAAGTTGATTTTGAGAGAAAGAGGGAGGTTGAATGAGAAAGAGAAAGAAAGATCCATTGTCTGGCTGCCTCTTGCATGCCCCTGACTAGGGATAGAGCCCACAACCTGGATATGTGCCCTGATCCAGAATCAATAGGCAATCCTTCAGCTCACAGGATGATGCCCAACCAACTGGCCAGGGCTAATTAAATTTTTAAAAGAATGTACAACCAATAAGCAAATTGTAAGAATGAACTAGAAAAAAAAAAAAAAAGAATGAACTAGAATAGAAAGTTAATCCAAAAGTCAAGGAAGAATAAAAAACAGATGGAATATATAGAAACAAATAAGATGGCAGATTTAAACACACATATCAGCAATTATATTCAAGCTTCCCATCCCCCACCCCACCCCATTCCTGAATAGTAATAGGTTTTTAGCCCAAAAAACATTAGTAAAGGCCAAGCAAGGTAAGTCTTACAGGGATGGAGGTGACAGTGGTGACAGCAGCAAGGTCCAACCAACATGGGCTATCCAAGCCTGACCACAATAGGCAAAACTTTATCACTGGTTGGGGTACTACCTGGAATGGGGTTCAAAGCCAATATGGAGTGAGGAAAGTGTCTAAACAAGGCCCAGATTGGGACTTGTAGGGGGCAGGAGGCAACCAATCAATGTGTCTCTCTGATATCAATGTTTTTCGCTCCCTCCCTTCCACTCTTTCTAAAAACCAATGGACAAACCACCTCAGGTGAGAACTGACAAAAAGGTAGGTAAAAATTTAAAAAGGAAAATGTTAACATCTCAAGCACCTTCCTATTGAATACATATTTGTAAGAGGGCCAAATGGGAAGACACCTGGACATTCTTTAGATTTTTGTTGACTGGGCCTGGGATATTGACAGAATCATGTCAGTTGCACTCCCGCCCTGGGAGTGCGGAGATGTTCTTAGTTCCTGGCTTGTGTTTGTTCAGGAGGAAGGAGTTATTGATTTTGTACAGAGAAGAGAGAGAGTCATCGAAAAACCTGGGCTCTCCCAGGCTCCTTGTTTTCCTGCGAAACCTCTTGTTGGATTGGAGTATAAAGAGATGTGCTGCCTGGCTTAGGAGGTTGTCAGTCTGTCTCTCCAGCAGAGGAGGTCAGTGGCCCTCCCATCTCCCAGCTTGAAATCTATTTCTATATCCTCTCTCTTTATTTCTAATATTTCTCAATCCCTGGGCACCTCCACTTAGAAACGGTTCATTCATCTCTCTTTCCATGCGGGACATGGAAAAGGGAGATTCCTGCAGCTTCAGGCCCCCACACTTATTAATATTAATAAGCATAACATAACTTTTCAATGGAGGAACCCAAAGACATCATCTCAAGCAAGTGATGAAAGTTAAGATTACCATATCATGATGCATCTAGCTTCACTTCTATAGTATTTCTGTCAAAGTACAATCTGAATCTTCTCAAGAATAAACATCAGCCAATCCAAATAGAGGGACATTCTAGAAAGAACTAACCTGTACTCTTGAAAATATCATGGTCATTAAAAACAATAAAAACAGCCGGGACCGGTTTGGCTCAATGGATAGAGCGTCGGCTTGGGGTCTGAAGGGCCCCGGGTTCGATTCCGGTCAAGGGCATGTACCTTGGTTGCGGGCATATCCCCAGTAGGGGGTGTGCAAGAGGCAGCTGATCGATGACTCTCTCTCATCGATGTTTCTAACTCTCTCTCTCCTTTCCTCTCTGTACAAAAATCAATAAAATATATTTTTAAAAATAAAATAAAATAAATAATAAAAACAAAATGCAACTTTTTCACATGGAGAAAGACTAAAGAGGCTCAGCAGAAAAGCACAACACACGTTCTAGACTAGATCCAATGAAAGACATTACTGGTACAACTAGGGAAATTTTAATAGGAATCTACAGAATAGATGATAATATAATTTCAATGTTAACTTCCTAATTTTGATGTATGTACTATGGTTAGGTAGCTACTGTTCCTTTTTGTATTAAAAAGTAGAAAGTTAATATTATCTTCAATTACTCTAAAATGGTTCAGAAAATAATCTGTCAGAAAATAATTCAATCAATTAGGGAAGATGAGGTAAAGTGAGAATGAGTGTACATTATAGAGAGTATAGCAAGAGATGAGAAAAAGGAGGTATAATGTAAATAAATGGGTAATCTATTGTAGATAAGAGGTACTACATGTACATGGGAGCTCTATATTTTTGCAACTTTTCTGTAAGTTTAAAATTACCGCAAAATAAAAAGGTAAAAAATAAAATTAATAATCTTGCACAATATCAGTATTAACTCTATCAATATGATTAAAACATATGGTAATGAATTCCTATAATTAACTTCAGAAGAAGTAAGATGTTAATGGAATTATAGCTAAACTGAATTATAATGGACTCAGTTCATGATAACTTGAGGCCAATCACATTGGATTCTTCACTAATTACCAAAAATGTAATCAGGGAAAGCAAAAATAGTAAGCTTTAACAGACTCTTCAAATTATGTTTTTCTCTGGTGGTATATAATACACATATTTGTTTTCTTTATGCCAAGAAATCCCACACATTGGTTCATGATGTGATAATAAATCTTAGATGGAAATTTTTTTTTTTTTATTAATTTTTTTATTAAATTATTATCTGTGTACATATTTTAACATTGCCCTCCCCTCCCATGTGTACCCCCCCTCCCCAGAGTTTTGTGTCCATTGGTTGTACTTATATGCATGTATACAAGTCCTTCGGTTGATCTCTTATCTCCCCCAGATCTCCCTACTCTCCCCGCTGTAATTTTACAGTCTGCTTATTGCTTTACTATCTTTATATCTGACTTTTGGTTTGTCAGTTTATAATGTTCTTTAATATCCATAAATGAGTGAGGGCCAAGTGGTATTTCTCTTTCATTGACTGGCTTATTTCACTCAGCATGATGTTCTCTAGTTCTATCCAGGTTGCTGCAAATGATCAGAATTCCTTCTTTTTTATGGCAGCATAGTATTCCATTGTGTAGATGTACCATAGTTTTTTGATCCAATCATCTGCTGACAGGCACCTAGGCTGTTTCCAGATTCTAGCTATTGTAGATTGTGCTGCTATGAACATAGGGGTGCATATATCCTTTCTGATTGGTGTTTCTAGTTTCTTGGGATATATTCCTAGGAGTGGGATTACTGGGTCAAATGGGAGTTCCTATTTGATAAACAAGGAAGTATTTTTTTTTCCTTTCCTTCTAAATTAAAAGACAAACAAAAAAGCATCTTTCTTACCTTCAACCCGTGATTCCAAGTACTTATCCAACTCTGCATCTTTTCTCACTGCTTCATCTGAGACCTTGGGGGCATTTGGAAAGCAAACTAGTACAATACTCATGTTATCGCGACTTCCCTATATATTAAAGAAAAAGAAATAATTATTTTTATAGTCTACCAACTTTCTATTTACATCAAAGCAGAGTTAAGTAATTACAGCTTATTCATCCAGAATGTACACATTTATCACATTTATTTTAATTCCAAAGAACTATTTGAAACACCCCTTTTTCTATTCACCACTCTAAAAACATTAAGTCAATGGAGGCAGTAGGCTATTTCTGTTTGATAGTGGGGCGTGTCAACCCAAATGAAAAAAGCCAAGGCCATACTAATTCCAGTCTTTTCAGTCATTATGACATGAATCTAGGCAGGCATTGTTTGGTTCAGACTTTCCACCTTTTTAGAACCCAAACAACACAGAAGAAAAGATATACAGGCCTTGAAAAACTTTTGCCATCAACTCCTAATACTCAATGGAGCAAAGTTTGAAAGCAGGGGAGGTCAGGTATTGAGAAGACTTCAAAAAATGTAAACCTGCTGGTGTGGCTGTTTGAACATCAACTTATGAACCAGGATTTGATTCCCAGTCAGGGCACATGCCCCAGTTGGGGGCTTGATCTCCAGTGGGGGGGAGGGGGAGAGCGAGGAAAGGTGGTGCAGGAGGCAGCCAATCAATGAATCTCAACACTGATCTCTATCTCTCTCTCTCTCTCTCTCTCTCTCTCTCTCTCTCTCTCTCTCTCTCTCTCTCTCTCTCTCTTTCTCTCTCTCCCCCCCCCCTTCTTCCTCTCCCTCCCTCCCCCCTTCCTCTCTGAAATTAGTAAAAACATACTTTAAAAAAGTAAACTCCCTCCATATACTTTCATGCTTTAGTAGGAAGAATTATCCTAAGTATATTACCAGCTTTTCAGTATCTGCAAGTGGAAGCGTTGGTGGGGGTGGGGGGTGAATCAGGATTTCCAAAATGGCCAAAACTACTTTCATTCCTTAATGAAAACCCATCAACACTTTCATGATTAATATTAGAAATAATGCATTGGCTGTATTAATACAAACATATACACCATGATTTCAAATAGCAAAAAAAGAAACAAAGAGAGAAAAAGTTAATATATTCTTTCACAAGAACCAGAATTTTACTATTTAAATTCAGATCAGGTAAAACTTTATACCATAGATATTCAAGTCCAATATTCACTTGAATACTAATGATTTTTAAAGCAACTTTATGAATAAACAGAATTCCTCATATTTTAGAAATCCCAGTTTCTTCTAACCATTTCTATTTTAGTAACAATAGTATGAGCATTGCTTAGCCATTTGTTATCTATCCATCTATATGTGTGTATAAAACTTAAAAATCTAACGTAAATTATTCATATAAATGCCAATATATAAATATAAGTAATTTCCATTAGATTTTTTTTTAAATATATTTTATTGATTTTTATACAGAGAGGAAGGGAGAGAGATAGAGAGTTAGAAACATCGATGAGAGAGAGTCATCGATCAGCTGCCTCTTGCACACCCCCTACTGGGGATGTGCCCGCAACCAAGGTACATGCCCTTGACCGGAATCGAACCCGGGACCCTTTAGTCCCCAAGCTGACGCTCTATCCATTGAGCCAAACCGGTCCCGGCTCCATTAGATTTTTAGGTTATAAAACATACATCATATCTCATCAGTTGGAAAATTAACAGAAAAATAGTTTTAAGAAGTTTAAATATCCTAAGATATTTAAAGGAAATAATTTACATTTACACCTTCAACATGTAATTTCAATGATGCTGCTTCTATATCTACGTATCTACTTTCCTCTAACCACAAAGTATAAGTGTGTTTCAGTAATTTTTATACAGCAATTAAAAAACCACCCTTGCATAAATAATCAGCTAATTTTCCAGCTGAAAAGGATACAAGTATTCATCCTATATTTATAGCTTCATACTATCAAAAGGCAACCCTGAAAAATGATTATAAAAAACAATACTAATGCTACTTACTTTTCATGGTTGTGAAAATTAAATGAGTTTTTAAAAGTGCAAAGTGTTTAGCATTTGATTCATAAAAAGCAATCATTTATTGATACTATTGTGATTATGATGATTATCACAATCTCCCTAGATTTCATGAGTTAACATATAAAAGTGCTAGTAAACTATTAGAACATAATGTGTTAGAAGTGCTAGAAAATATTGACACTTCATTTAAATCTATTATCAAGGAAACATCTACTTAAAAACTGGATCTATTCCTACTTAACAACCAACACCTACTGAGCAATTGCTAAGTGCTAAGCACTGGGCTAAATGCTTTCTATGGATTTAAAAATTTATATTCAATCTTTCAAAGTAAATTTAAAGCAATTATATTGTATTTCAATCACATTGTTTTATATTGCTAACCCTTAGTTTTACAATACAAACAAGTGAAGTGACAAAATTATGTAGGTAGAAAATAGGAATGGTTAAGAGGTTTACTTAACTCTATTAAGTAACAGAGAGTGGTTCATAAATCTGTATGTCTTAACAAAAACAGCTAACTAAACTTCTCAAAACTGATTTTGATTTGAGCACAGCTTTATTTAAAGAAATATGATGAAACACATATTCCAGCCTCTTGTCCCTATTACTATAACTTATGATTCATGAGATTCTAGAACTCTGGCTAGAATCTTTTAACACTACAAAAAGGCATATTTATCAGTTCAAACTAAAAGCTATGAAGTGAAATATGTCCCCAGAATCATTTAAACTCCACATTCAGAAAGGAGGGGTCAAAATTCCTGAAAACTAACATCCTTTCAATAAAAGGGAGAGTGCTGTTTATGTACAATACAAACTTCTTTCCTACGAAGTACATCTCATTCTTGGTTATTCTAAAAAAAAACTACATGTCACTCATTCAACAGAATGCTATGCAACCAGAAAAAAATGATTTAGGTCAATACTTATAAACATGGAGATCTCTCTACAATATATTATTAAATGAAAAAAAAAAAGAAAAAAAGAAAAAAAAAGGTTGAGCCTGGCTGACATGGCTCACCTATGAACCAGGAAGTTCGATTCCGGTCAGGGCACATGCCCAAATTGCAAACTCAATCCCCAGTAGAGAGCATGCAGGAGGCGGCTGGCCAGTAAAAAATACACAACTCACACTTTTACTTGTTTTTATCTTACCTGCTAGGGGGCTCAAAACTAAATTACAAACTTTACCTAGTCTAGGGTTATGGTGCATCTTCCAACATTTTATGTGGCTCTTGATTTTTGTATATCTAGTACAGAATTATACATCAAACTGCTTCATAATAAGTTTTCGGACAGCTATTGCCTATGCTGAGAATATGAATTAAAGTCACGTTCTGGCCTGGTTGGTGTGGCTCAGTTCAGTGGCTGAGTGTCTATCCATGAACCAGGAGATCACAGTTCAATTCCCAGTCAGGGCACATTATTAGGTTGTGGGCTAGATTCCCAATGGGGGGCATGCAAGGGGCAGATGATCAATGATTTCCTCTCATCACTGATGTTCCTATTTTTCTCTCCCTCTCCTCCCTCTCTCTGAAATAAATAAAAATATTTATTTTTTAAAAGTCACATTCTGTATAGATGCTCTGCCATGGAAACAAGCCATAAAGTACTTAAATGACAACAAATACCACAGAAATTTATTCAACTTAATTTTCAAACTAGAAGGTTGAGGCAAGTGAGAATGGCTTTACAAAAAAAAAAAAAAAAAAAAAAAAAAAAACTGTCATATTTCTGCAGAAGAAAATAACTTAAAAATGTACAACCATAATAAAAATACTAAGTTTTTAAAATTTATGTTTGCTTGGTTTTACTTACCATATTTTTTCAAAATTAATAGGGTATTTTAATTATAACAAAAAGATTTACATACCTTATGTAAACAAGTGTCCACTACCCAATTGCAAACATTTTCCAGGTCATCAGATATCTCAAGCCTAGATTTAACATAATCACAGAGCTCCTCGTTACTCATAACATCCCAGATCCCATCACAAGCCAAAACGATAAATTCATCATCTTCTCCTCTTAAAAGTTCATAAACCTCAGGCTCTGGAGAAACTAGTTGTTCCGTTGGGCCCTTGCCATCCACACACTTGTAATCATAGTCCCCCAGAGCACGAGACACTGCCAATGAACCATTAACACGCTGTATCATTACGCTGCCTCCTGCGTTTTGGATACGCTCCTTCTCCCTTGGATTGGAAGGCTTGTGATCCTGGGTGGAAAAGCAGACTTGTCCATTCCTACACAGAACAGCACGTGAATCACCACAGTTGATAAAGTAGACATGCTTCGGCGAAATCATAACTCCCACTGCAGTTGAACCACTCCTGTCCATTCCATTTCTGAGGTCTGAAAAGTTACGCATGAATTCATCAATTTTCAAAAAGCCAGTTCTGATACCATTCTTGACACTTTCCACTGTAGGCTCATGAGAAAATCCTGATTTTGCAGCTGCCTTGAAGTCTTCATTATTAGTGATGTGTTCTAATAAATGTGTTGAGCAGTAATTTGCCACTCGGGATCCAGCATGACCATCATAAACTGCAAAAAATGACCAGTCTTCCAAGCCGTGAGGAATACCTACAACAGCTGTGTGTGCATCTTCCATTTCCACTCTCCATCCTTGCATGCTGCTCAGGCCATAACGTAAACCATTCCCAGCACCATGAGCATTATGTTTCTCAGTTTTGGGTTTATCCAAAAATGCACCCATGTTTAATAATTAATCTGAAAGAAAAATTTTATAGGTGTTATATATTTAAATCTGACACAGAATTCACCTATATTAGCTCATTTATTCTCTAGTAAATCTAAAAAATATACTTGGATAGGAGTTATCTGAATTTATTGAACAGAAAAAAACCACCACATACACAAAACAAGAAAATTTCCCTGCACATCCTTTTTCTACAACAATGGTTTCAAAATCCTAGCACTTTACAATCATCAAACCAATTAAATCAGAATCTCTGGGGATGGGATTAAGATATCAGTAATTTTTTAAAGCATCTCTGGTGCATCATATGTGCAAGTTGAGAACCACAGTTATAGGAGAAAGGAAAACCAAGAAACAAAACCTGGTTAAAGTTTTTTTTATAATTCAACTTATACAATAACTCTAAGGTTCAATATATAGAACAAGAAATAATCCTCTCTTGATCCGATAAGGAAGAACGGGAAGTTTGGGTGTGTATTTGGAGTACTGGGGTGAAAGTGGTAAATCTCATCTCCAGTAATGAGATAAATAATTCCTAAAAATGGGGGGTGATCAAGAAGCACATGAGTTAGAGATTTGAAGATAAACTCTAAAGAAATCAGGAACTAAGATTTAGAAATGTTGGTTCTGGTGAATCTCCATGAACAGGGCCTTCGAGAACTATGTTGTTCTTTAAACTATATCAATGGTTATTTTAATTTAAAAAGCTAAAGAAGCCTAAAGTAAAACAATAACACATTACTTGGTAAGATTTAAGGAATTGCATTTCTAATCATAAACTAATCTCCCTAATATAAAGGTCCTATAAATAAGTAAGAAAATGACCAAGGTGATAGAAAAATGGACCAGGAACACCCCCCACAAATGGATCTTAAAATATGTCCAACCTCATAATCATAAAAGAAATGAAAATTAAGAATACACTGAGGTATCAATTTCATGGGTCAAACTGGCAAAGATCAAAGGTTTGGTAATCATTTTCTCCACAAGAATATGCAGAAATACACACTGCTGATATTATTAAACTGGTACGATCTCAGTAAAAGGAAATTTCATCAAATCTATCCAAAATTGCAATTGTACATATTCTTCAACCAAATTCTATGAACCTATAGGTTTACTCCTATATATACAAATATTCACTGCAGCACTGTTAGAAAAAGTAAAGTATATAAAACTATCTTAGCTAAGTGAAGTCAGTTGGAGAAAAATAAATATCACATAATTTCACTCATTTGTGGAATGAACAACGTAAAATGATAAAAAGAGCCAAAGGGGGAAAAAATATTTTAGATTATAATAGAAGTAATCCTGGTATTTGCAGATTTTATATATATATATGTATATTTTTTATAATAAATACAATACTTTTGTTGTCATTTTTTAAATATATATATTTTTTATTGATTTTTCACAAAGAGGAAGAGAGAGGGATAGAGAGTTAGAAACATCGATGAGAGAGAGTCATCGATCAGCTGCCTCTTGCACACCCCCTACAGGGGATGTGCCCGCAACCAAGGTACATGCCCTTGCCCGGAATCGAACCCGGGACCTTTCAGTCCGCAGGCCGACGCTCTATCCACTGAGCCAAACCGGTCCCGGCTATTTGCAGATTTTTAATATTTCCTACAACTTTTGTGATTTTATACTACGTGGTACAGTTTTGAAAATATTATTTAAAATATTTTTCTTCAAGTATTAATGCTTATTGAATGTAAATGTATAATTATTTTGTATCTACAATCTTGAAATAAATTTATTTTGTATATTGTAAAAATAAATAAGTAAATAAATGAACCATCTTACTATCACCCATTTGGGAACTGATTAATAGGAGAATCAAGATTCATATTTAATGATATATAGGTAAAACATAATAGCCTACAAAAAAAAAAAAAATATATATATATATATATATATATACACACACACACACGTGTGTGTGTGTGAGCAAGCACACAAGTACCAGAGAGCTTTAAAAAATAAACTGGAACCTCTGGGGAAGAGAAATCAAGAGCTCGGAAGACAGAAATAAAAGAAATACTCTCTATTATACACTAGAGACCCGGAGCACGAAATTTGTGCAAGGGCTTTGGCCCTGGCCCTGCCCCGCCATGGCAGTGGGCCTCTGCTGCCTCCCTGCCTGCTGTGGCTTTGTCTGGAAGAAAGGACGTCCAGAAGAATGTCTGTTCTAATTAGCATATTATGCTTTTATTATTATAGATATACCTTTTCCACTTTAAACATTCAACTGTAATAAAAACTATATAAATTGAATGTCATTTAATAAATGTTATTTCAAACTAGGAACATTCCTTAAGAGTGACTCCTATAATCAATAAGGATCTAAAATAAATGTCAATATATTTGATACCCAAAGTTTTTTTTCCCCTTTACAAGCAAAGAAACAATTACCTACTTTGACACAATGGACAATTAAGACCCAGCAGATACATCCATTTGAATGCATTGTCATTTCCTTGAGGAACTACTACAAAAATGAAGTCTAAATGCAATTTAAAAATACTATTGACTCTCTGTCAATGATTACTGAAATACGGTGATAGGCACATGAGAAATCAGTATCTACTATCATTTCAGCATTTATGTACATGTGAAATTCTTCCTAACCAGAATTTTAAAAAAAATTTTAGTGCTGTCTTTCTAGGTTTTGCCAAAATTAGGCATCCTGAACAACTATACTTGGATATTTTTTATGGGAATGAAATTTAAATTGCAGGACAGATACAAGAAATAACTGCCTAAACAATTTTGATCTCTCTTTATTCCTTCACATAAGTACAAATGACAGATACTATGACCAAAGTTATCTTTAGTTGCTTGAATCCATCTCTACAGTACAATGGCAACAGACTGCCAAGAGGTTTGATCAGAAAGCAAGCCCCTTCAGGGACAACCAGGCGACTATCTGAGAGGGCTAACGGTCCTCTTACCTCTTATTTCAATTAATATTTGCTCCAGAGGCTTGTTATAACAAGTAACCAAAATATGCTTTTATATCGTTTGAGGGACCTAGGAATAAGCAAATATTTCCATAGTGCTCATTCTGCAACATGCACTGCTTAAATGCTTCACAAATTAACTCATTTAAATTTTAATCCTTTAGAAAAACTAGTATCAATAAAGCAAACAATTCTCAAAGAAATATCCAGCCAAAAATCTTTACAAAGTAAATTATTAAAATTTCAACAAAGGACATTTAGATACTACAAAATTCCCATTCTCCTTTCTACAGCTTGCACACTCTTCTAAAGGAGCCACATGGAAATTGGACAAGCCTTGCTTAAAAAGAGCACAATCTGTCAATCCCATCTGCTTCCTATCAAAAAGGATGAAGTGGTGTCAGGGATGTTTTAGGCCCACAGTCGGCAAACTGCAGCTCACGAGCCACATGCAGCTCTTTGGCCCCTTGAGTGTGGCTCTTCCACAAAATATCATGGCCTGGGCAAGTCTATTTTGAAGAAGTGGTGTTAGGAGAAATTTTAAAAATTTGGCTCTCAAAAGAAATTTTAATTGTTGTACTGTTGATATTTGGCTCTGTTGATTAATGAGTTTGCTGACCACTGATTTAGGCCTATGGACATTTTTTCCTAAGGGTTTCTTTCTTTTGACTAAAAAGTAGCACATCCTATCTAATAAAGGGGTAATATGCAAATCAGCCATCACTCCATCACAAAGATGATGCCAATAGCCACAAGATGGCGGTGCCCAGTCCTCTCAGTCCTGCCAGAGTCCCCCAGTCCTGAGGAGGTGTGTGTATGTGGACGGGAGGGGGGGGGGCAGCCACTGAGAGCGGGCACCATGAGCAGCCTGGCGGAATGCTTGCTTTGTTGCCTTGGAGACGAGGCAAGTGTTCCACACCTGCCATGGAGGGCCTCTGGCCAGGCCGTGTGCGGATGGGCCTCTGGGCTGCAGAGAGCCTCTAGGCAGCAGGAGCAGAACAGCCAGGTCCCACAAAAAGCCACTGGCGCGCACGGATTCATGCGCAGGGTTACTAGTATAGCAGTAATAATAATGTTTAGGTTTTTTTTTTTGTATGAGCTCTGTAAGCCAGGCTTTATATTAAGAGATTGATGTTCACTATGTCGTTTACAACAAACAATAATTTAGTAAAGTTAGTATTATGAATATTCTTATTTTATAATTGGGAAAACTGAAATACCTAGTATACCTAGATAACAAAATTTATGTAGCAAGTCAGAATTCAAACAAAAGCAATAGCCTAGAACTGGCATTCTCATCTCAAGGCTTAAGTGATTAATGCATTTTAAAGCGGTTTGTATTGTTTTTAAAAATCAAAATAGTGATCTATAAATTTTTAGAGACTCAAAAAGCAAGGTTACTAAATGTAATGTGGTACCCAGATTGGACCCCAGCACAGAAAAAGAGAATAGAAAAACTGGTAAAATCCAAATAGAGTCTGGAGTTTGGTTAACAGAATAGTACAAATGCTGGTTTCTTAGTTTAGACAAATACACCATGGTAATATAAGAAAACCAGTTTACAGGGGTCCTAGCCTATGGCTTTCTATACACCTAAAATTATTTCAAAAGTAAAAGTTTATTTAAAAAATTAAAGTAACATGCAAGCCTCAGATAGGTAGAACTTTATACAAACCAAGCTGGTGCAAGGATTCTCAACTGGCTATGGAAAACCTCTCTACCTGTGATTTTGCCAATCCCAGCTCGGAAATGCATTCTAAAAATACCAAGATTACATAATAATTAGAACTCTGACCCAATATTCTACTTCTGAGAAGTTATTCTAAATAAACCAAACTGTACATAAATATTGTATTATTTTAAAAGATTAAATATTAAATTCATTAAACAAATAGCCTATTTTTAATAACAAAACAGAAATAGAAAAATGGTTATATAATTGGAAATCAGTAATGTAAAATTCACCATAAAAGATCAAAAGAGAAAAATCTTTGTGCATAATGATATTCATTAGAGTGCTACTTATACTGAAAATAATTTGTATTTCT